TCAATGACGAAAGTTTCGTCATTCGTCAGGCATCTTTACTCTTGGTGCACTAATAAAAAAGTCGGGAGAGCAATTTTGCCTATAATTATTATGGTCTCTGAACAACCCTAACCTAATTTTAATTGCTTCATTTTAACCTCCTTCCAAATAAGGAAGTTAAAACGGTTCGGTAAAATTTGTCCATTATTCGTAATTAGATAGTATACGCCCCAATCCAACGTGCATAACGATAACCCCAGAGGTTTAATATACAGATTTAAAAATATGAACCTTACTAAATTCCATTTATACTAACCTAATATAACAAAAAAAAAAATGCGGAAAAACCTTTAAACCTTTCATATTAAAATAAGTCGAATTTTCGGCTTCTTTGATTTAATTCCTATTATGGTTAATTGCGTTCAAATGCTAGACAGAAATTAATTTATCAATTATTATTACGTATCATAGTTATAATTCTATTCAATTCATTATATATATTTAGCAATAAAAACATGGCATATTAAAAAAAGTCGGTTAGTTAGATCAATGTTTAAATCATAAATACTCTATTATTTCAATTAAGCAAATTACCTTTACGTCGAATGAGTAAGAAAGAAATTAACTACGTAGAGGATTCATCCCTTTCACTTCCATATATTGAAAATCATGCTTTATCATTAGGCGCTCTTTGGGATTGTAATCTTTCCAAAACAATCGGTTACAATCTATTTGAGAAGCAGCTCACAAACGATTATTTAATAATTCATCCGTTAAAAAAACTAGATTACCGTTTAATCCATGTTAAGAGTATAGAAGACCAACTAGCAACATTAAAAATAGATGGTGCTATGTCAATTGAAATATTATCTGGTATTTTAAAAGTAGAAGGAAATCTTGATAAATCGTTTTCCAGAAATTCAAATGAAGAACAACTTATCTGCGAATATAATCTTGATAATTATTTGGTCGAATTGCTTCCTAAAGCAAAAGAAGAAATAGGAGATATTGTTAAACGTCAACTCCTTGAAAAAAAAATCAAGGCAACACATGTTGTGCATGGAATAATCTTGGGTGCAAAAGTGTGCGCAGATATAAGAATAAGACAAAATGATACAAGCAAAAATATGGATGCAAATGGCTATCTAATTGGAGATATTCCTTTTGGTTACGTAAACGCATCTTTGAAGACTAGCTTGAAAATGCTAGACTCAAAAAAGACCAGTAATTATGATATGCAGATAACTGTCAACTCTAAACCACCGATAAAAAATCAACCAACAACCATAAATCAGATGTTCAATTTGATTGAAAATATAGATGTATGCGTTCAAAAAGAGTCATATTATAAATTTATTAGTCCTGATATTACAGGTGTACCTATTCGGTTTAATCTTGTGCCTATTTTTCAATTTCTCGACATTAAAGTCGAAAAACTTTATAAGCAGCTGCAAGACAGCATTTTAGAAAACTTTCGTACAATGCTCATTGCACTTAAAGATTATCAGTCCCATGAATATATCAAGAGATGTGTATTAAGAACAGAACATCGTCTGCAAAAGATTTTATCTGATTCTCAATCCAAACTGTCAAAAAATATTACAGAATATCAAAATGATTTGAAAAAAATCACAAGTCATTATTTTGAACGAGCATTCGAAACTTTAAAAAAATACAAGATTGGAGATTGTAGCTCTGAAGAACTCTTTCAAATCATGCGTGACTACGATGAAAGTGATTTCTGCATTGTAAGTGTATGCGCACAAATTGAAAAATTTGTGTCCGATGGAAGAAATGAACTCAATGTTGTTCGTGAAAAGGAC